GTACAACTGTACAGGTGTCCACGAGCGCATGCTTACAGACGAGCGCGTGCGCGCTGTAAGGCAATTTGGAGACACAATACTGTTGTGAGAAGTCGTACCACGTTGACACGTATTACAGATATGTCGTATGTGTCGTGGAAGCTTACAAAGAGCACAAGAGCATATCATGCGTTCGTAATTCGGATGCCGACCGCCGGCAGGTGTGCGCAAAGGTCGCGGAGCCACGCACACTATCTATCGAATGCAATTAGATAGTTACATTCACCACGCTGGTTGAATTGAGCAATTGGCGACCCGACAGCAATTAGCCTTGACAGGAGGGACTGGCAGTCTCTTCTCCAAGGGTGTATATATAGCCATATACATCAGCCTTAGCAGCCGGCAGGCAGCAGCGAGGAGCGAGGGACGAATAAAGAAAGAGCAAGCAACGCTCGGGCTTTTTGTGCCTGCTCCACGTGTCTGTTACACTACGCCATACTACAAGTTCGGAGTGCCCCTATCTACACTGCGCGCGAAATCAGTATGTCAGAACTGGTTCTCACAACTGTACAGTAGTGACCACGAAATAAGAGCACGCCATGCCAACCCCTTCATACTGCTCTTAATCCAAGGTTGCTTTTATTCAAGAATCCCGCACAGGATGCCCATTTTACTCATTAGAACGCCGTAGCATCTCACCAATAAGCAGTTGCCTGGACCCGTGCTGCGACCAATTCCAAAACGCTTCATCACAGAAGAGGCGCTCGCGCCATTTTGAAGTCAACGCGCAGCCTCGGCTTTCTCTTTCAACGAAAGGCGCTTGCGCCTCTTCAGCGAGCCGTGAGCCACCGGTGGAAAGTGAGAGGTCATTTCGGAGAACCGTACTGATCCGTGCGTCGGAGAAATGGAACAGGCGGACTGTGGGCGGGACTTCTGAGATGCGTTTGAAATACACGCCGAGAAAGGGCCTGTGTGATTGGAATTACAGTGTTTGGCGGTGCTTGAAGTTATGATACCGTGCCAAGCGAAAATGGTGCTCGTACTGCGAGGTCGTTCTTATTCAAAGTGCTCTTATATCGCGACCCCCCCCTGTAATCGTCCCCGCAGAGCGTAGTAGCGCATCAGCTTCACTGAAAAATTTGTAGTTAAAGTTGAATTGCAACGTAATGATCCGATTCCTCCTCGCCAGCAAAACCGAGCGTTCTTTCTCTTCTCCGATCATGCGACAGGCACTTGTTGTAATTGTACATGTGCCGGTCATCGTGGATGTATGGCCTCCATGCGATGCCGGCATGCGTACATGAAAGCCAATTCATGAAAGCATTACGCGATTGTCTAGCGCGACGGGCAGTGGACCCTACAGTATCGTCTCGTTGCCGACCTTGGCCATCCTGCTCATACTGGTAATGGCATGAGGGGGGGATCGTGAGCGGCATGCACTTCTAATTCTGATTTGCATTTCCGACTTGATGCGTAAACGAGTATCAGAATTCTAGAAGTAAAATTTCTGAAATAAGAATTCTGCATCGCTGTATTTCTGTTCCATTTTTAACTCGAAAAAGTCCTTCTGGGCGACCCCACAATTATGCGGTGATGCTTTTAGCTTGAGAGAGTTTCAACGTAGTTACATTTTTCAATTTATGCATGAAGTTAGCAGCACAAAGGGCATGATAGTTTGTAGGGGCTGGTGCTTTCCCCAGCGGCAGCCCCTTTCGGAATACGCATTTTCCGAGATGGAGAATGCGTTTGGGGGGGCTGTATTGAGCAGATATGGACATGTGGAATGTGTGGTTAACTGGTCCTGGTGATGTGAAGATAGTGCAGCGCAGGTATACAATACAACTGACAGAAGAGGGGGAAGACAGAGCGACGGAAGGAGTAGTCGCAATGTACAGTTGGTGCTGCCAGCAGCAGTGGAGGGATTCGAGATGGGATCTCGCTCTGTTGAGCCTTTTCTGCAGGGCGGCGCGGCAGGCGGGAGTCGCCACCGGGACAAGTCCTGAGACTTGACTGGGACCAGTCTGAGGCAGTGGAGGGGAGACCGCCAACCCGGCCATTCCACGTGTACGCGTGCCACGCCGCCACCTGCGACACGTGTTAAAGACGGAAGTTTCCCGCGGCTCGTGACTTTCCGAAACGGCGCCCCTCGTCTGCACAGATCGCGCGCCAAACGCCCCAACCATGCCGCGACCATGCGCCAACTCTTCCTTTCAAATCCCCCGCCCCCCGCCCCCCACGTGTGTCCGCCCGCCCCCCTTGTTTGCTCCATTTCCCCCCTTCCCGCCCCCCTCCCAGCCAGAGTCCCCCCCCCCACCCCCCACCCATCCCCCGCCGCAGCGCCATGGACGCCCGCCGCTCCGCCGTCGCGCCGGACGACCACCCGCCCTCGCCGCTCCCGCCGCCCACCCCGCTGCCGGACACCCCGCGCCCGGACACCCCAGCCCCGTACACCC